TATTTTCCAGTTATTTGAATGGGAGCTCAGACTTGTGAAGGTTAATGGACTGCTTCATTCGGCAACAGTAATTCTCCCCTTAGCCACTGGCCAGAGATGGGGAGGGGACGTCCCTGTAAGCTTCTTGCTTGGCCCGTTGCCCTCCACTATTATTGGGAGAAGTCAGCCTCTGTGAAGGTCGTGCGCCCAGAACTGTTTATCTTCCCCATCTCCATGGCAACTTGCTCCCAGACCTCTTCTGAGGAGTGACTTCCAATTGTGTTAAATTGGAAGTCTCTTTCTGACATGTGAAATCCTGCTCATTAGAACTCAGGAAAGACCAGCAGCAGACTCACAATCAAAAGAAACACCTAAATAATGGTCACAAAGCAGAAAAGTCAGTTTTTCTTCTGCATTGACCCCAAATTGGTCATTATTAAAAAACAAAATAATTTGTCCCCAGTTTTCTCTAATATACCATGTCTTCTAATACATATTACTTCTCAAAATGGACTTGAGGAATATTTGATCAAATCTATTTAATGCTTCTCAAAGATGACGTTTTCAGAGAAATTATGAACAGGTTGCTTCAAACTATTAAAAAAAAAAAAAAGATGACTTGGGTATTGCCCTAAACACAGTTAGTGTCATGCTTAACTGGAAATAGAAATGATATGGTATAAGGTGCCTTGGATTTTCAAGAAATAACCAGGAAGTAGCCATGAACCTGAACCTGGATACTATTAGAGAGAGCATGCAAGAGAGAGAGAGCATGAGAAAAGTATGGCTGCCACATTCAGCTTCTGTAGTATAAGAAACAAAAACTGTGACTTTTACCAGAAAACACAGTCCTGTGACAAACCTTTTCTACACAGGCACAACATTAGTAAGGTAAGAACTGGGAAAAGGTTGCCTGGGCTCTTTAAACTCCACTACAGGGGTGATCTACCCCTTCCTCACAGGAGAAGGAAAAAGTAGACTCTCAAATCACATTTTTCTTTTCTTTCACTTTAGTTAACACATAATAATTGTACATACTGATGGGGTACAATGTGACGTTTCAAAACATATACATTGTGTGATGATCAAATCATGGTAATTAGTATATCTGTCACCTCAAACATCATTTCTCTGTGGTGGGAACATACAAAATCCTCTCTCCTAGCTACTTTTATACACAATACCTTATTGTTGACTACAGTCACCCTACTGTGTAACAGGACACCAGAAGTTTCTTTTTTTTTTTTTTTTTTGAGACAGGGACTTGCTCTGTCTCCAGTGCCACAATACAGTGGTGTCATCATAGCTCATAGCAACCTCAAACTCCTGGACTCAAGTGATCCTCCTGCCTCAGCATCCCAAGTAGTTGGGACTACAGGCACATGCCACCACACCCAGCTAATTTTTCTATTTTTTGTAGAGA